CATGCTGTGACCAGAAAGGAATCAAGACACTTCTGAAATTGAGAAGAAAGGCTGAATTGGGTTGAAATCTCCTGTCCCTCCCTAAAAGCTTAGCAACCTGTTCCAAACCACCACCGAAAGCAAGCAGAAGGGACATCTGTTCCTCCAGAAAGGGCTTGGCACCAAGGGAAGAGCCACAGATTAGAACAGATTAATATTGCTGTGGGTGGAGAGACAAAGGGGATGGGGGACAGACAGGACATTTAGCAGCATCCACCTACTAACAAAAACTGTAACTCAACAATATCAGAAAAGAAAGGGAAAAAGAAAAGAAGGAGGAGGGGAAAATCAATGGAGGAATTATTGTTTTTCCTTGCAGTAGTCGACACAGCTTCAGTGAACAAAACATGCTGCATTTGAGATGAATATTTGGTCATTCACTATAAAAAAAATAATAATGTCCCCAAGAGGAGAGGATTGGGCATTCTGCTTGGAATTTGGTAACAAAAACTAAAACTAAACTTCAATGTTCAACATATTATTGAGAAATAATTTTCTAAGTTTCAATGGACTAGTAGGATCATCCTGTGAAGAGATGTTACATGTTTTCCTCTGATCCCAAAATCACTTTAATGCAAATAAATGTGTAGCATCTGTTTAACTTGTAGTCTAAGAATCCAGAGTTGAAAGAGTGAGATAGGCTGGAGATGAGCTACTGGTGGTAGGGCGAGTACTTAGCACGCATGAGGTCCTAGGTTCCATCCCCAGCACAAATAAATAAATAATAATAAAGTGAGATAGTAGGATGAAATCCGTAGATAATTGAATTATACTTCCTACACTAGAAACTTGGGGCTCTGAAGCATTTCTTTCAAAAATTAGACTTTGTCATTAACAACAACAGAGGGCTGGGGGTGTAGCTCAATGGTAAAAGACTTGTCAGGGTTTGATTCCCCAGCACCACAAAAAGAGGAGGGCAAAGAGGGAGAGAAAAGAAAAAAGAAAAAAACCAGAAACAGTAGCAATTACAGTGGTAAGAAAAACAGATGCTAGTGGAAAGAATAGTAGATAACAAACTGGTAATACTACTAACCATTTACACTCATATATTGCTGGTGGGATTGCAAATTGGTGCAACCATATGGAAAGCAGTGTGGAGATTCCTCAGAAAACTTGAAATGGAACCACCATTTGACCCAGCTATCCCACTCCTCAGTTTATATCCAAAGGACTTAAAAACAGCCTACTACAGTGATGCAGCCACTCACAATAGCTAAATTATGAAACCAACCTAGATGCCTTTCAACAGATGAAAGGGTAAAGAAAATGTGGTATATAACACATTGGAATATTACTCAGCCTTATAGAAGAAAGAAACGATGGCATTTTCTGGTAAATGAATGAAGCTGGAGAATATCATGCTAAGTGAAATAAGCCAATCCCACAAAACCAAAGGCCGAATGTTTTCTCTGATATGCGCATGATAATTCATAATAAGGGGGTAGGGTTGAATAGAAGAATAGAAGTACTTTGAATTAGGCAGAAGGAAGTAAAGGGAGGGGAGCAGGTATGGGGGTAGGAAACATAGTAGAATTAATTGGATATTATTACCTTATGTGCCTACATGATTACATGACTTCTGTGATTCTACATTATGTACAACCAGAAGAATGAGAAGTTATGCTCCATTTATGATGTGTCAAAATGCATTCTACGGTCATGTATAACTAATTAGAACAATTTTTTTAAAAAAACAAACTAAACAAATAAGTAATACTAACCACCACTTATACAGCACTTTCTAAGTACTGGGCACTGTTCTAAGCATTTTAAATATATTACTTATTAAATTTTCACAGCACTCCTGTGAGATGAGTGAGTTATTATTAATATCCTGTTTTACAGCAGTTTTCAACAATGTTTGTTATTCTGTTTTAACAACTAAAGCCATCTTACAAAGAAACACCTGGAACCACAAGAACAGGAAAAGCCTTTTGCCCAAAGTCGCCCAGCTAGGTGACAGACCCAGGACTCAAACTCAGGATACCCAGCTCCAAAGTTGGACCGCTACTGGGCATGCACCTCTTGCTCCTTGCTTAGGAAAACCTTCTAGGAAAGGAATGTGGAAGGAAGTCACGCCCCTGCCTGCTGGTGGACAATTAAGACTTGAAGTTTGCTGTTTCCTTAGGAGTCTCCTCAGACCTACAGTAAGCATCCTGCTCCCACAGCTATAAAGTGACTGGAGGCTGCCCTCACACCGTCTGTGACCATGGGAAGCTCCTTAGAGCTTTCACCTTTGCCAGCAAAGGCACAAGTTGGGGGTGGGGCCCAGCAGCACCTCCTTTCCAGGCCACACTTCCTGCCCAGTAACACAGTCCTCAAATAGCCAAGGCTGCAGGCCCAGACATTCCTCACTCAGAAGTTATGTCCCAGCGCTTGTTCTTTGCGCCTTTATTATGAAGAATGAACCGTTTTCTCCTGCAGCCCCTCACTCCAGGCAGCCCAGGGACTGAGGAAGTGGGGCCAATGGCAAAGTCTGTTTATTAACCTGCTGCACCCAAGGGAACATTTTTCTAAAAGGATGAAATTCCTGACTACTCAAAACGAAGAGAAAAAAAAAAAAAAAAAAAAAGCCTGTGGGAAATTTAATCACCAACTGAACAAGAGCGGAAAAACAAAGCCCTACCAATGAGGATGTTGCCAGAGACAATGGGCCCCTAACGGAGATGCAATTGTCTCGAGATAAGAGTCCCCGGGGAATCCAGTTCGCACTAAGCACTACCTTATTGCTATATTAGCTGAGGAATCTTTGTTCACAGGGCAAATGGGCACAGAACCCTCTGTTAACTGCCCCTGGGTTCCCCGGGGTTTGCAGACGCGGCATTTACATGTCAAGAGGAACCTCGGGGCAGCCAGGGGGAGGTCTCAGTCTCTCCCTGGAGCAAATACCTTTTTTATATAGCCTGGGAGGGGAAAGCTTTCCTTTCTGTGAAATCCAACTCCCGCAGTTGAAAGGAGATACGCCGCTTCAATAATGCACACGCAGCGCACCCGCGGCCTCGTCCTAAAGCCACGCACGCCCCTTTGGGGTGTCTACATTCTTGACTTGGTAGGAACGGCAGAGTTATCAAGAATAATACAAAACTGTCTTGAGCGCCCACTGGGACTCTACTTTCTTAGGGAATCTTTTCTTAAACCTGATATGAAAGCCGATGTGCTGTCCCGATGCACACCACCCCTTAAAAACAGACTATCATCAGGTGTTTTTTCTTACTTTAGGCAAGGATTGTAGTAATAGAGACACCCACCAAATATCCATGGAGGTGTACACTTTGTGCACTTTCCTGTGTAATTTATACCACGATATGCTTTTTTTAAAGCAGAGTATGACACTGTTACCCATAATAAAGGATATAAGAAGTAAATCACTTGCCTTTACATGAACAGTAAGACTGTTCTGCTCTTAGACCTTCCCTGCATCCCTGCATATCCAAAATCCCCCCTGATAATATTAAAGTTCCTGAAAAACAGTCATCCAACTTTCCACTATGCTAGTGACTACAAATGTCCCATGTCGCCTGTAAGCCCAAGTATGCAGCACAGAGAACACCTGTCACAAACCACGCCTTCCAGCCATGTATCAAAAATAAAAAGCCAATGCCTTCTTATACGGTGGTGAGCTATGGAGTTATGAGACATGCCTGGCCTTTTAGCAATAGAATCCCCAGTTAAATCTTATGTTTCTTTAACTCTATTTTTAAGTTATTGCTTCTAAGCTCTGAAAGCACATGCTTGTGTGAAGCAGGTTAACCCTGCAAGATGTAGGCCCACGGCTGGACCATCTGGCAGGAATGACAGTGGTTTCTGCAGGCAAGTTTAGATCCGTAGCATGGTACCTCTGGCACCCCAGCAGCTTTTGAGACCTGCTGTGCCACGGGGTGGGGGTGGGGTCACCAAGTGACAGATTAAGACGCTTCATCATTGCTCGGTCATGACTTAGCGATACACTTCCTCCTTTGAACAATCAGGCACCGAGGGTTTCGTGTCATTGAGGGAAGAGTGTCAAATTCACCTTCTACAAAGCCCGAGAAAAGCGCCCCCCCCCCCCAATTGAAGCAGAGGTTCTTTGCATGGATCACTGGGCGGGAGTCACCTTTCCCTCTCACGCCCTCCAAGCGTCCTGACCCCCGCAGACAGATCATTTCGGAAGCCCAGGGCTACCAAGCTGCGTCTACTGATAGACATCACGAATCAGGATCGCCCAGCGAGCGCTTCCTGGACTGAGCCGAAAGCTCCAGTGATTTCCCTGGCCTGCCACCGAGTCATTTAAGAAGTGAAATATGCCAACTGGGCCGCATACCCAGCCCCTCGGAGCCTACCCGGCCATCTCTGGGATAGAACGAGGGCTGCCACTGGCTCGGCAGCTTCTATGCGGATGCTACGCTCGCGGTGGGTCTTGCAGGTTCTCCCCGCCCTGTAAGCTTTGCCAGCCTCACACCTGAGCGGGTGCCAGAAATACAGCAAGAGACTCCGGTGGGTATGTGCCTCTGTGGACACCCGGCCAGCTCCGCTCGGGAAGAGTGGAGAGGGAGGCCAAGACGTGGAATATGGGAAGAAGAGCAGGACACCCCGAAATGCGGCGCCCTCAAGGACTCTGTGGGCGCGCGCTTTCTGCGCCTTTGCAGCGCTTCTGCTCGCCCTGCGCTTCGGTTGGCAGCGCCTGGAAGCGGCGCAAGCAGAGATTTGCGGAGCCGGCGGGTAGGAGGGATGAAGGCGCAGAGGACCGCTTCCTGCCCCCATGAGCACAACCAGACTGCAGTGTCCTCCATTCATGCCCACCCCACCGGTACTCCAATGCCAAAATGCCGGGGGATCCAGTTCGCCCGAGGCCCTGACCGGTCACCCGGAGCGGCTGGCAAAAGAAAGTGGGGGAAGGCGAGGCTGGACCTGCGGTCGGTGCGCGAGCGGGTCAATAGCTCTGGGCAACCCTACAAGGCCGCCCGCCAGCCACCCGCACCTACCTCGATCCACTTCTGAGCCTCGGAGAAGGCGGGCTCGGGGGGAGGCTCGGGCTGCAGGGGCTGAAGAGCTTCCAAACCGAGAGCAGGACAAGCCATTTGCGAAGCCCCGCGTCCACTCGAGCGCTGGGCCGCCGGGATGAGCACAACCGCCGCCGCCGCCGCAGGAGCGCGCTCCCCGCCCCTTCCCGCCTGCCGCTCTCCCTCCCCGGCCGCCCCGCCCCCGCCCGGCGCAGGTCCCGGAGGAGAGCCGCGCGCACTGCCAGAGGACGCCGCGGCAGCTGCTCCCAGCGCCTCCCGGGCCGGCCGCGCAGTGAGTGCCCGGCGGGAGCGAGCGCGGAGGCACCGGGAGCTCCCTCTCCTCCCCACCTTCTCAGGCCGCTCCGCCCCCCGGGAGGAGGGGGGGACTCAGCTACCGACTAAAAATAACCTGGAGCGAGCGCTGGGTGTCTCCCTCCCGGCACACACCCGCACCAGGGGAGGGACTCCGCCGGCCACCCTAACGTCCCCTGGCCAGGCCCGCTGCCTAGGGGTGGGCAGATCCGGCCACACCTGGGAGACGCGCGCCAAGAGGCGCGCTGCGACAGCAGGAAAGGAGTACGCATAGGCACCTGCTGTGCCTCCCAGACCGCAGACTTGGGGGCAAAGGGGGGAAGCCCCTGACGTGGGGCCTGGAAATATTTAACCACCTGATCTTTCTGTAAGGAATAAAAAAGAAAACCTCCAGGCAGACTACGTGTACCCTAGTCTATTGATTCATTCACCCAATATTTATTGGGAACCTACTGTGCGCCAGGCACGGAGCTAGTCCTTGACTTCAAGATAGTCACATTCTGGAGGAAAGGGACAGTACAGACAATAAACGTGTAAATCGAAAGATCACTGTAAAACGTGATGTTTGTTAATCAAAAAGAGGAAATAAGCAAAGGCTTGGCATAGGAACTGCTGGCTGATTTCTGATAGCCTCTCCACCTTTTCCTGGGAGGCCACCACATAAATTCTTGTTCTGTTAATGGAAGGCAGGCAGGGGCCAGAGGGCTGGAGGGGAGAGGTGGGGTGGGGGGTAGGGGGGCAGATAGGGGCCGGTGTTTATTCCCACTTTTAGCCCTGCAAACGTCCAGGGGCTTGGCTACACTATTCTGCCGTGGGTGCATCTGTAGGGGTCCTGTCTTGCAGCTATTTTCCTTGGCTTCCCTCAAGGTTACCTGTCTTCTCTTGCCTTGCCCCCATCCAATCTGGTTTCCACCTGTCTACTTCCTTCTAATAGTCCCTCCTCTCAGCCACCCTCCAATTGAGCTTGCCCTCTGTTTTGCATAAGAGCCCAACTGATGAATTTGGAAGGTTTTTCAAAGGAAATAACATTATGAGGCGACATGAATGGGAGGGATATTAACCATGGGGACAATCTAAGGGAAACATTCCCAAATGGGTGTCCAGGCTTTGAGATAGAAATGAACTTAGTGGAGGTAGAGGAACCCACAGAGGAATGATAGCAACAGGCAGGCAGATCCCATCTGGGTTGGACCTCCAGAAGACACTATAATGTAGATTTGTTGCCTGGTAGGCACTGATAGGCCACCAGGGAGGTCTGGCTCCAGTGAGCCTAGCACTGACTACATAGCACCTCAATACTCTTGGCTGACCTAAAGCAAATGGATTCTCCTCTTTAGAATAGCTGCTGGCAACAGGTGTCTGATGGTTGCCGGAGGCCCCAGGGTGTCTCAGCAGCTAAATCAGAGTGTGAGTTTAGCTTGGTCCAATTCTGCTTCTCTCATAGCAAAATGAATTAACAGCAGGCCTGGAATTGCGCCATCACCTGCTTTGGGGTCAGACAGGCTTCAGCTTATTCACTTTGAAAACGCTTATATGGCACTTGTGTGGTGCCACACACTGTTCTAAGTGCATTACAAATAATTGACCAACCCAGTCCTCATTCCAGGTTAAGATAGAACTGTTACCATCTCTTTGAGGAACAGGGACTAAGGGGCTATCATGCAACTAGTGGGAGGGAAGCCTGCACTCAAGACCAGACAGCTAGGCACCAAGCCTGCTTGCAACCGCAGGCCCAGCTGCCTTGCCAGTCCTGTGCATCTCAAATGAGGGTAAAGTGACCACCCAGCAGAATCATAGGGAGGAAAAACATGGTGACTGAAGGACCAAAGCTAGACCAGCTGACCTCACTTTTCACCCTGCCATCTAAAAAAGCAGGAAGGGGGAACATGCAAAGAAGAGATAAAGGAGGAGAGCAGAGGAAAAGGGCTCATGAATATAAGCCAAAGAGGTCCTCGCCTCCACAAGGAAAAATGGAAAAGTAAGTTCACAAAATGACTCCAGTACACTAACAAGGCTGTCCCCTTGGATCACACTCCATGGAGCGACTAGGAGGATAAACAGCTGACCTAGATGGCCTATCCAAATCTACTTGAAAATGGGTATTAAAATTAAGTCTACCACATTTTAAAATATCTGGTATTAAAATTAGCTTTCAAATCAAAACATATTTTTTGTTTTCAGTAAATATACTTTTTACATCTTTGAAGGTTTGAAACCATAGAGTAACATAACATCTGCTTTTTCTCTATTACCAGTAACAAAGTTTGAAACCATAGAGTAACATAACATCTGCTTTTTCTCTATTACCAGTAACAAAGTCACATAGGCTGCCAATGACCTAAAGACTAAAAATGATCCAAACCTACTGCCATTGTCAATAATATCAACAAATCATTGCTCCTACTACGTGCAAGATGTCTTACTAGCATCAGAAGAATTCACAAAGGAAAGCAGACATTGTCCTTTAGAAGGAGCTAATCATTTTATTAGTGAAATGACATTTTATTTTTATATAATGTAGTTCTTTTAAATATAAAAGTAATATGCCCTGTGGGAAAAAAATTGGAAAATATAATGAAGAAAATAAATCTGAAAGAAACCCCACAATTATGAAATCATTGCTATTTGGGGGATATTAATTAGCCTTTTTGTTGGTGGGGGGCACCAGGGATTGAACTCAGGGGCACTCAACCACTGAGACACATCCCCAGCCCTATTTTGAATTTTATTTAGAGAATTTAGAGACCGGGTCTCACTGAGTTGCTTAGCATCTTGCTTTTGCTGGGGCTGGCTTTGAACTCGTGACCCTCCTGTCTCAGCCTACGAACCATAATTAGCCTTTTGATTGGAAAAAATAACCATAAGACAAGGTACTCACTGATAAATACCAAGTAAGGGATATAGCTTGGGTTAGTCCTAACTATTTGAGAGGATGAAGCAGAGGGATTACTTGAGACCAGGAATTCAAGGCCAGCCTGGGCAACATAATGAGTCGCTGTCTCAAAACAAACAACAATTAAAAAAAAAAAAAAACAGAAGATGAATTAGTTATCCTGTTGTTTTATAACAGCTTTATTGAAATGTAATTCATATACTGTACAATCCCTCTTTACAAGTATATAATTCTAGAGAGATTATAGTTAACAATAATGTTTTGTTTCAACATAGCTAGAAGAGATAATTTTGAATGTTATAACCACAAAGAAATGATCAATGTTTGAAGTGACAGATATAATTATGTATAAATAATTATGTATAAATTAAAACTAAAGTTGTTAAAAGTATATAATTTGTGGGTTTTAGTATATTCACAGAGTCATCACCACAGTTAATTTTGAAATATTTTTACCTCTCCAAAAAGAAACCCCATACCAATTAGTAGCCACTCCTCCAAGCTCTTGATCCCTGGCAACCATTATTCTATTTTCGGTCTCCATACATTTACCTATTCTGGACATTTTATATAAATGGAATCTTAGGCTAGAAATGTAGCATGCCCAAGGCCCTGGGTCAGGCCCCAGCACCAATAAACACAAAAATGGAAACATACTCTAAGTAGTCCCCTGTATGTGGTCTCTTTTTGTTAGCATGATTTTTTTTAGGGTTTACCCATGCTGTGCTGCAGCCTGTATCAACATTTCACTGTTTTTCCCTTTTTGTTTTTTTCAAGACACAGAGTCTTACAATGTTGTCCAGGCTGGCCTCAAAATTCTGGGCTCAATTGATCCTCTTGCCTCAGCCTCCCAATGCCACACACAGCATTCCATTTCTTTTTATTGCCAAATAATATGCTATGGTATTGCTATACATTTTATGTATCTATTCATCAGTTCGACATTTGGGTTGATTTTCACTTTTTGGTTATTATGAACGATGCTACTATAAACATTCCTGTAAAAGTTTTTATATAGAAATATATTTTCATTTCTCTTGAGTATATGTGAAGGAGTGAGATTACTGAGTCATATAACTCTTTAACATCTTGATTAAATACCAAACCATTTCCTTAATAGTTGTATCTTTTGACAGTTCCTCCAGCAGTGAATAAGGTTTTCAATAATTCCACTTCTTGCCAACACTTGTTATCATCCAAAATTTTTTCATTATTTTTATCCTAGTATATATGAAACAGCATCTGATTAGGGGTTTTAATTTGCACTTCCCTGATGCCTAATGACACTGACCATCTTCTTATGTGCCTATTGACCATTTGTACATCTTGGGAGAAATGTCGATTTGAATCCTTTATTTTTAAAATTGAGTTATTTCTTTTTTATTGTTGAATTCTAAGAGTTTTTTTAATATATTACATATAAGGCCCTTCTCAGGTATATGATTTGCAAATATTTTTTCTCATCCTATGTGTTGACTTTTCACTTATGTGTCCTTTGAGCACAAAAGTTTCTAAATATTTTTTAGTTATAGATGGACACTATATCTTTATTTTATTTATTTATTTTTATATGGTGCTGAGGATCAAACCCAGTGCCTCACACGTACTAGGCAAGCGCTCTACCACTGAGCCACAACCCCAGCCCCCAAAGTTTTTAATTTTGAAACTCTATATTTTCCTTTTGTTCTTGTGGTTTGGGTCATATCTAAGAGAGCTTTTGACTAATCCAAAGTCACAAAAGATATACTTTGTTTTATTCTAAGAGTTTTATAATCTTAGCTCTTACATTTAGGTTGTCGATCCATTTTTACTTTTTATAAGAGCACGGTTTTGAGATCAGACATACAATGTGATCGCCTTGGTCTCCTGAGAAACAGGCACCAAGATGGAATTAAAGGTACAAGGATTTTATTATGAAATGACTACAAGAGAAAATGGAGAGGGAGCTGGGGAGTGCTGGAAAAGCCTCAGAGTGCAATGCAAGTGTGACCTGGAGTGAACGGGAGAGGAAGGAAGGTTGGGGAGCAGTCCCTTAGACTGCCTCTCAATCTAAGTTCAGCAAGGCCATCAG